GCAGGAATCTTCTTATCTCGAAAAGTTTGAGCAACCTGCACTCATCATTACAATATGAAAAACAGGAGCAGGTGAGGCCCAAAATTTCAAACATTTGGGCATAGATTCTGATTCCCTTCACCGTTATGACTGAACAGCCTAAGAATATAAATAAAAGAACTGACCTCACGAACTCGCTTGTCAGACATATAACTCCAACGGCATTGATGGTAGCCTAAGGCCCACTTTGGAGGCATAAATACGGTTCCTGATAAGAAAGACATATTTTATATTCAAAAGCAGAATCACCTTTACCCAGGAGTGGAAAAACAGGATAGCAGAAATAAAAAAGATGAAATACATACATGGCAACTCTAGTCTCAAAACATAACAGATTGCTTAAATGTAATCTTTTCCTATGCAATTAGTTAACCTCCAATATCCAGGTAGCAGATACATCATTGTTAATCACTGACAAAATAAACACTTGAAAGTTGTGTAGGGTATGATTTCAACAACAAAGAGATGCCAAATAAGAAGTTACCTATAGCATGAGACAAAGACTCCGAGACCGCCGTGGGTGAGGAGAATGGACCAAAGGTGATAATTGGATACGATGGGGGAGCAACAAATCTTATTATTCCTTCTTTCGTAAGATCAATCTAGGCAAATAAAACATTTGACGTTACTGCAGGTACGAGGATTAAGAAGAAAAGTGGGTAAGAGATTTTACAAATTAAAAGTTCATGTACCTCGCATCTCCGTGTTGTATCTGCAAGAACCCCTAGTGTTTCTCCATTTGGAAGAACAGCTAGTACCCATGGATGCGACTGGTACAATGAAGTAGTTCCAGGACCATATCCCCAGGCATCAGTGTTCCATGTAAAAACCTGAAAGTGTTTGTCGAGAACTTAGAGTGCTATCCACAACGTAAGAGAAAATGTGATTAGACATATCACATAGATTGCTAACCCGCTTTCCTGTTCTCTCCAACTGTCCACTGACTTCTCCCGTCCCGTAAAATGAGGTTCCAGGAGGAAGCTACAACAGAGGATTTTATTTCGTGAAACAAAGTGATACATAAGAATAAGAAGAAAAAAAAAACTTTGACTAAATTAGCAGCATGTTTAATCAATCATGTAAAAATTGACACAGCAACAACACAAAGGAGATAGAAACACCAACCTCAAAAGTGACAACTTGCTGCCCATGAAGGCACACAAAGCTAGGAAGGTGTGAAGGAAATCGCTGGCTTATAATCGGTGTTTCCCTATCTTTGCTGTTCATAAATGAAACACTTGGGAAAGCTGCCTTCTTATGCTCCTCAGAACCATCAAACCGGAAAATTCCATCCTCCAATATTGGCTCATAAATCATGTTGCTAGGAGCAACTTCTTTAGGTACTGAGCTCCCTTCACTTACAGTCATACTAACTACAGATTTTTTACCCTTTCTTCTGCACGCAAGGCGTTTGTACTAGTAAGCACTACTTGTATAAGCCTTTTCAGTTCTGTATGAGGATGTTCCAAGCAAATGTATGAGAAGAAAAAGAAAGAAAGAAACAATTAGCTTCCACTTAATCTTCAATCATTGTCATGGAAAGTTATAAACAAAATTTTCAGCCAAAATCCCCAACCCAAGGCTTTTATACAAGTTTTCACCTAAACCCTAATTTAATCTCAGACTCCAAGATTCAAAATGCAGTTCTAGCGATTCAAGTCAACGTGTCTGCTTAGTAAAACCATAACTAGACAATAACATACAAAGCAAAGTTGGAACTTTTTTAAACCCTAAACTACCTGTCCTCTGTACCTTCGCTTCTGTGATCAAACCATAATTAGACAAATAGCATACAGAGCAAAGTTGGAACATTTTCTCAACCCTAAACTAGGGATTCCAAAAATCATACAAAGGGTGAGGAAAAAGGAACTTCCTTTGCTACTCCCTGATTGTTAATTTTCGCCTAGGTCTCCAGATTCAACCATCCTAACACTATCTGATAAGAGAGATCCAAACGGCATTAATTTAGACCAAACCCATCACAACATGACACAAAATCACGACCCATCAACAAAGAAAAACCAAATTGATTTTCCAATCTCGAAAGATCAAGGATGACGATAAACAAAAAGCGAATGAAAAAAGTGGGAAATTGCAGAAGAATGTGTATGATATAAAAGAGTAAGAGACAAGACCTGGTAGTGTTGCTGATGACAAGAACAAAGGATCTAGATGGAGCAAAGAAGAGCGAAGAAGAAGTGATCGGAGTCACCGAGGAAAGACGAAGATGATCAAAGAAGAACAAAGAAGAAGTACCACCGGTTCTTCTGCTGCATGATGATGACAATGATACTGATGCCGTCAGGAGTGATTCCTCCATTGGTCTCCACTCTGCTTCTATTTATCTATTTGTTTTATTTTACATGTTTATTCGTTCCTAATATGTATTTATGTGTGTGTGTATTACTTATTCCATGCTGTCCTTAAAGGTTGGAACTTTTTCTGTAGCAAGCAACAATGGAGGAGCATCAATTCACCTTAACTTGTGAGGAATTTCAATCAAATTCTTCACTTTTCACGAGCATTCATGGACGATTTTCAGGATTTTGCTTGGCTGACACAAATCTGTTTGATATGGCAGTTAAAGGAGCTCGTTTCACGTGGGAAAACACAACAATGGAGGTGATTCAACATTATATAACCCATGTTTCATTGGGATTCTATGGTAATTACAGCATCATAGGCATAGCAAGAAGCCCCTTTAGGTTTCTTTACCCACAGAGAATCCCCCCACCTTGTGTTTCTGATCACTTTTGTCGGATTCTGTAAAGTGGCTCAACATCAAATTGGTTTCCCCCTTTTTTTTTGGGTAAAATGTGACTTGTATTCACAACTGTGGTTTCCCCCATTTTTCATATGAAACGTTTGTTTGCAATTTATGTGAGCGAATGATAAAAAATCTAAACTTCATAATGATTATGAAGAAAAATGTTTTGTTTAAACAAATGTTAAGTTCTGCAAACAAAATATTTTTTTTACTAATGGTGGTTCAAAAATTATGGAATCAAATGTAGAGTTTTGACCCACAAGTGAGCCCCTTATTTTTATTCTTATTGTAGACATGACTCGTTCCAATCAATTAAATAATTACTAATAAGGGACAAAACAATCATATAGTTAAAAAATCCAACATTAATTTAAATTAAAGAAAAATATATTTTGTAATTAAAATCCAACACTATTTTTTTATTTGTAATATTTCTTTATTTTTTTATGTTAATATTTTAATTGTACTTAGATTCACCTTAAATTTAATTAGATATTACTCATCTTCATTCAATTGAATTCCGGTTTATAATATTTATGCCTGATTATATAAAATTTTTAGAAAATAGAAAAGATAATTTGATCTTAAGAATTGGAAAAAAAAAATAAAGCTTTAAGAAAGGAACAGATTTTTTTTTACCAAGTATCTAGGTTGTACCGTTTACTGCGTAACGCTCTCAGATCACGCCAAAGAATCCATGTTTTTAGTAAAAAAAAATCTGACTTTTAAATCAATATTAAAATTTTATAATTGATTAAAAATTGTCATTAAATATAACAAAAGCCCCAAAAAGAAAAGGTAAAAGTTGAACAGCCGAATCGAACTTTTCTCCACCTCTCTGCAAATTTCTGACTTTTCCTTCACCCGCTCCATGATTCTTTGCTTTGACTCGTCAGTCTTCTTCCCCATTCTTCTATAAACCCCTCTTTTCCTTCTCCTCCCGTGTTTTGCCCTTCTCCCTTCTTCACCGTCTTGCCCTGATCCTGATCCTCAGCCTCTTCGTCGTCTTCTTCTTCTTCATCATCATCATCATCATCAGCATCGTTCTCAGTTTTTTGTCCTGCCCGCGACAATGGCGAAGTTCACTTACTCTTCTGCTTTCACCTTGTCTGAGAACCCTTTGAACCCTGTTGTCGGTTCTTCGTCTTCTCCATCGTTCGGAGCCTCCGATGATGATCTCGATGATGCCTGCAGTATCTGTCTCGAGCCCTTCACCGTTCAGGACCCTGCCACTGTGAGATTCTCCCTCCCACTATAAATTCTCTTCCTTTTCGTTGGTCTGAAATCTGTGGTATCAGGGGGGTTATTAGCATGATTCTGTCTATCCAGTGTCTCTGTGAATGAATGTGCTGTCTCTTGATATTATGGTGAGATCGTTTGATTTCTGCATTTGCTGTTCCCTTTCACGGGTCACTTTTTGCGCGTTTAAGTGGACATGACTTTGCGATTCTGGCGAAAAATTGACAATCGGCTTTACTTTTCTGACCACGATCATCTGTTTAATGATTCGGCTGTGCTATTGTCAATGGTGTTAAAACGAATGGAATGGTTGTGACATTGCCAAAGGTTTGACCTTTATGTAGCAACTGGTTAAGGTTGTAGATCATTGAGTTCTGTATTTTGATTTTGGCCCAATTAAGTCAAACTTTAGAGTTTCGAGTTTGTGAATGCAATGGCTGCGAAGATATGGTTGATATGCTATTGTGAAAGAATAGGGTTTTCTGTATATTCATATTGTGGTGTACATGTAGCAATATATACACGAGAGAGAGGAAGCAAATGAGGAAACAGAATGTGCTAAATAACAGGAATAGATTGATACGAATATCAACAGCAGATCTCTTTCCATTAGTTGATGGGTGATTCATGGTTCAAGAACGAATGAAGAGTTCCCTCTTGTGCTATTCTAAGTGATTGCTTCTAGTTCCGGATTTGAGTTTCAAATTCTGTCCATTTCTAAGTGATTGACATGTTTCTTACTTCACGTATTCACTAGAAACTAGTCTAGAAACGAGTGGTCAATATCCGATCTGTGAATGCTTCTTACTGGCATTTCGTTCCTTTTTGGTAAAATTTATAATGGGAAAAATGTTTATGTTTTCAGGTTACTAGTTGCAAGCATGAATATCATCTTCAGTGCATTCTTGACTGGTAATGTTTTGCTTCCCATGTTCTCAAAATCATTTACTACCCTCTCTCTCTCTCTCTTCTGCACTAAGACTTGAATCTTGTTGTGCTTTCATATCACATCTGTCTCTGTGACTGATTCGTACTTTGGGATTCCATAGGTCCCAAAGAAGCAAAGAGTGCCCCATTTGTTGGCAATTGTTTACCTTGAAAGACCCTGCTGGGTAAGCCTTTTTCATTCTGCCTCTCTGTTTTTTCCTCCGGGTCTAAAATCCTTTGACATGAAACTTCACTTCCAGTTTAATTTTTCTATTTCTTCCTTTTTGTAGCCAGGAGCTTCTGGCTGCTGTGGAGAAGGAAAGATTATTGAGGTCCAGGAAGGTGTCTTCAGCTTCTCCAAGATCAATTCATCACTCTCTTGACGATTTTCACTCAGATGAGGTGCCTAAAGTATCCAATATGAATCCCTTAATTTGATATTTGGTTGGGCTAAAAGGGTTATACTTTTTTTCCAGGAGGCTTCTCAGTTTAGTAGCTTCGATGAAGATTTCATGCGTCATCTCACTGAAGCTGCTTATAGACGCGGTTTGCTTCGAAGAAGGGAGAGTCGAAGATCTTCTGGTCTCGGTTCCTCCAATGCTCCCACCATGGTTTCTCCTGCTGATATGGCCAATCCAGATCATAACCTGGGCTCTATTTCAAGTAATGACTCAATGGCAAATTCAGCTATTCCGTCTACTGGCAGTATCCAATCTCCATCTAATGTCTATAGTGACTCTTCCTCCGCTGCAGACGGGAACAATATCTTGAGGTACCTATACAAAAGTCTGAGTACTGAGCTTTTTTTCTATGCTTGGTTTATCCACAGGCAGAATAATTTGCTTAGTTGAGATATTATCTCCATTCATCATGTTATATACATATACTATCTCGAGAAGTTGCATGCATCAATAAGGCTTTTATGTGGAGATGCTCAATTTAACATATTTTCACCTACTTATTTGATGGTTTCTGGTCCAAGTACCGCTTACCGTTAAAATTTAGCAGAGAATGCTTGGGCTCTGGTATTATTCTTTAATTTGCCTTTCTGTGTTTATCACCTGTTCAACTTTTCTTGTACCTGTTATCAGATTCTTCCCTGGCTTGTCTCTATCTCCTTCGCCAAAAAGTCCAGATTCCCCCGAGGCATCATCCTCTCTTCCCGAAACCATTAAATCTAAACTAGCTGCCGCTTCAGCGAGGTAGCTAGAGCTTTTGCCTGAATCTCTTTAAGAACCAGTGATTTTCGTTTGTCCAAAAGTTGCCAACACGTGCTCTTACCGGACTCCAGGTACAAAGAATCAATCTCGAAAAGTAAACAAGGTCTGAAGGAGAAGCTACTCGCCCGGAACAACTCAATAAAAGAAATGAGCAAAGGAGTCCAGCGCGAGATGAATGCAGGGATTGCTGGTGTTGCCCGGATGGTAGAACGCCTTGATCTTGCCTCAAAACGTTTCGGAGGGTCTGCACCAGTTTCGACCGCCACTAGTGGTTCCAGATTCAGCTTCTCGTTCAAAGGAAAACGTGCAGAAGAAAATGCCCGTGTGGAGACTCCGAACAGAAACAATGGGGACAAAGCTGAAATCCCTGAGCTTCAGGTCTGAAACTTTTCTCGGGTTTTTTTTCTCTTCTTCTTTCTCCTGGGTTCTGGTTCTTTTGTGTGTTTTCTCATATACCCTTATGCTTTTTTTTTTTCTTTTTTGATCTTCAGGGAGGACAACAGATATTCTGACAAGTCGTGGGGGGAGACGACAGAGAGAGGCAACTGCAATGTTTTCACTTCGAAAACCATAAAAAGTTCGTATGAACTCTGTTCCTAATGCAATGCAAGTGATGTGCTTTCCATGTTCCAGCTGCTAATGCTTCCCCTGCCTTTTTTGGTCCGTCTTGGCATCCTGCATTGTCTGACCATTATACCGTCGTCGGTTGTCTTCTTGACTTCCGTCTACTAAGACTTTCAATAAAGGTTTCTTCTCTCTAAAAGGATCTTTTCCTGCTGCGAATCTTTTGATCCCTCGAGACTTTCACTCTCTTGCTCTGTCTGGGACCCCACAAAAACCCGACTACATTTCGGTTCAGAAATTTAATTTCGGTCCGAATCGAGCCAAATAATACTCTTGTAGAACCGAATAAACTGTTCTCGAAGTGAACCAGATAGAAACCGGATTTGATAAGCATCGAACCAAAGGACTGAATTATTTATCTTTACATACGAATGTATATGCGAATATCATATTGTATTCGTATAACAGAACCGATTAACACATTTGGTTGTAGATTTTTGTAGTACCAAATAAATCTGTTTTAAAACCGAGTCCGACGAATACCGAACCAAAATTCGAAGTTTCGAACCTATCGGCCCTTTAAAGGCTCAAATTGTTTGCTTTCTCGCTTGAGGCCTAAATGGCTGGCCAGCTTTCGGCCCAAAGGCCCACTAAAAGGCACCAACAATCTGTTGCACACTAAAGGCCTATTCTTTTGCCCACTTAAAGTCCTATATTATTGGCCCACTTAAGGGCCCATTAGGGCCGAAAGTTGAACCACAAAATTTAAGGAAAATTTAAGGAGAATCCAGTCCCTACAGAATCATATATATACACACACACGGATTTCACCACAACTTTAACCAACAGGGCGAAAGATCAAAACAAGTTCGGGATTATATACTTTGAAAATAAAATTAATTTAAAATAAGATATTCTTCTTTTTGTATTTATGTGAATAGAATAATTTTCATAAACCAAATAAAGCTCACTTGGTAAGAAAAAAAGAAAGATGATTTTGACGTCTTATATTCTTATTGCACATATGATTAGAAAACTAATAATCCAAAATTAGAATCCCGAAAGGGCAAAAAAAAGGAGGTGAGGATTGATTAGAGAAAAGGGAGGCCTAAAATTCTGCAGATGTTGGATTTTAGATGGCTATAAGCATCTTGTCGGTCCATTTATTTTTAAAACTGAATAATTTTATTATACTTTTTTAGTGGAGAATTTTAAATTTTTTTATGGGTACTAATTATCATCCAAATAATACTGCAAACTCTAAATTAACGATTGTTGCTTATCCTTAAATTTTTTTTTTCGGTATGGCAACACTCTAAACCCTGGCCATATGTTTCCCCAAAATACAGAATAAAATCTTGCGGATTTCGACGTAAATATTATTCTTTTTTCTTATAAATTGTAAACTAGTTTATGCGACTAGGAACTTTTATTTTGAAAATTTTTCAAAAAAAAAAACTATGTTCTACAAGTGTTAGGAGTAGGGCTGGGCACAGATACCCGAAAATCGGATATTTGTCGGATATTGTCTCACGGATATCCGATTTTAGGATATTCGTAATTTTTAAATCCGAATCCAAATCCCGATTTTTCAATACCCGTAAATCCGAATCCAAAACCGGATAATAAAATTTTTAAAATCGGATATCCGCGAAAACCCGACTATTATGATTATAAATAATTGTATCTTATATTTATATAACATTTTTATAAAATATAATTATTTTAGATTAAATAATTTCATATTTTTAATATTAATTCTAAAAAATTAAATTTATTATTATTTATCTCTTATTATCTCATATATTTTATCATAATTCATCAATTTTTATAAATATGTCTTTATTTTTTGAAAATTTTATATATGACTATTGTTGTTTTTCTTAAATAAATTCGGATCCGGATACCCGCGAATACCCGACTATTATTCCGGATACTTGTACCCCGGATACTCGTAAATACCAAATTCCGAATACAAATCTTATAGTTAAATACCCGAGCCTCCCGGATTCAAATCCAAATCTCTCGATTTTCCCGAGTATCCGACCCGTGCCCACCCCTATTAGGAAGGCTTCTATACTATGTAATTCATAATGGGTGGGTACGGACCGGTATTCAAAAATTTTAGGATATCAGGTTTTGGTTTTGGGTCCGCGAGTTCTTTGAAAATATTACCTCGATCTCATTTTCGCGAGAACAGGATATTTGACACTCCAGGTATCCATGTTTGAATTCAGATATCCGAGATATCCAAGTCTATGAATTTTTATTATTCAAATATTAAATATTAACTTTGAATAAATAAATTTTGCACAAATTAAAAAATCCAAACATTAAAACGCACAAATTTTAATATACACATTAAAAAATGCAATACAAATTGTACAATCAAAACTAGTTATCTATTTTATAAATATTTATGATTATACGAGTATTTCTATCTTTTGTATTTTACAGGATATTTGGGATATCCGTCTCTCTAATTTTAAAACCTGAACTTGTACTCGTAGATCGTATTTTTCATCTCGTATTCGGTCTCGTTTGTAATCAAATATCTGAATCCCAAATATCCATGAGTCATATTGTGACAACTCGGGATACCGTAGGAGGGTGGGGAGTAATTGCTAATGCGAGAGACATGGATAAGGAGCGGCTCCTGACGAGCTTCTAGGTAGGGAGTATAAGAATGAATCGAACGCACCGGAATAAGATGGATCTGAGGGCTGTGTAGGTATGAGATTACACAGTCAATGATAATTTAAAGGAGTTGATTGAGCTACTTATAGCAACAAGATACATCTACCTTTTCGGTTTTCCATCTCGAGAGAACTCCAAAGTTAAAGGTGTTGGCCTTAGAGTAGTCTTAGGATGGGTGATATTCTGTGAAGTATTTTTCGGGATATGTGCGAGTGAAGACAAAACACGCTAAAAGGTCTCGTGTTGGTGTGGGATAGTTTTATCATTCTTAATGATGCTGAGGTCGTTACACAGATATTCGCGAACTCACGGGCTTCGGGTAAAGAGAGATACCGCTAGAAAGAATATAACTTAGGATGTGACTAATTATGAATTAAATCAAAATAAGGGGGAAAATGTACATGAACTCTTGATCTTGGACCAATAAAATGCAAAAGCAGAACAAATTCCTTTATTTCTTTTTTTGGGCACAAATTCTCATTCCATACAAATATGGAAGAGAATGAATGAAAAGGAGCTTTTAGTTTTGGGGTCTTATTTCAAATCAAATTCAGTCAGCCATATCCTACTTTAATAATAATAATAATAATAATAATAATAATAATAATAATAATATTAATATTAATATTAATATTAATATTATTATTATTATTATTATTATTATTATTATTATTATGTATTTCTCGATATCATGTCACATGTAACTGTTTTAGCCATTTATGGTCGGTCCAAATTCACATGTTATAGAAAAACTTTTGATATAAGAAATTTATTGATAAGTCTCCATAATTCTCAATTTATATCTATGTATTTCACAACTTATACAATTCATTCTTAGAAATATAGTCGAAACCTACCATCTTTAAAATATATGCATCAAATAATAAAGAGAAAAATAAATAAAGTTTAGAAATATTTTCACAGCACTATTGATCAAATTAAAATTTTGAATTCTTGAAACATAAGAAAAAAACGAAAGAAGACGAAAATATATATAAAAAAACCAAATTGTAAACAAATTGAACCGAAAATCTCCAAGTTAAAAACCAAATTAAATCAAACAAATGAATTCACTCTATTTCCAATTAAAATTTTGATTAATATATCTTTATCGAATATGGGGTCGAAGCTATAAGAGCATTATTATAATTTATAAATGTAACTTTATGTTTTAGTCTAAGATTCTCTATTGTAACTCCCTATATAATACTAATAAAATACGATATTTATTACTCTACTATATATATATATATATATATATATATATATATATATTCATT